AAGGAAAAAGGTGAATTAATGGCGCTCTCTCAGAGGAGATAAATTTTAAGCTGGAGTATTAATGTTCTAATGCCACATAACAAAACTGTCTCCCACACGACACCCATTTATTACCTCATAGTTTTGTAGGTCAGAAGTCTGGGCATGGCCCACCTGGATCCTCTGCTCAGAAATTCACGAGGCTGACGTCAGGGAGTTGGCAGGGGCTGAAGCCTCCTCTGTGGCTTCATTGGCAGAAGTCAGTTCCCCGTGGTTAGAAGCCCGAGAACATCAGCGCCCAGGGGCGCCTGCTGTTCCCTGCCACGTGGCCCTCTCCGCGTGGCGCTTTGCGTCTTCCAAGCCAGCTGGAGAACACTTGCCACTCTTTCTTCCATCTCTGACATTTAGATCCTTTCCGAAAAGGCTAAACATCACTTAATTAGATGAGGCCCACTCAGAAAAATCTTCCTTTTCGTTAACTTACTTTGAACATTTAGCTGATCAGGGACGTTAGTAACACGTCTAAAACCCCTTCGTCCTAGCAATAGACCTTCATCTAATCACCGAAAGAGCATTCCATCCTATTCACAGGCCCCACCAGCACCTGGCGGTAAGGGATTAGAGAAGGGTGTGATTCCTTGAAATCGTCCTGGGATTCTGCTCATTGCAGGTAGATTTTGTTAGACAAATAGGATTTTTCCAAGTGGACGATGAGCGAAGACACATTACAGGCTGATATAACAGGGGTGTGTGGACATCATCCTTCCTTACTCACGCTGCCACGGGAGTTTCTGGTGCTTAATTTGCCTGTTTCCAGTGCTTCTCCCTCCTTTTCCACGGCTTCTCCCAACTCTTGTCCTCACTCCATTCTGTTCTTTACTCTCGGCAGAGCTACTTCTCCTAAATGCAGATCTGCTCAAGTGACTATCTTTCCTCTCCTTTCTGTGTCTTCATCTAGTTAGCGCTCGGTGAAGACTCAGCTCAGGGGTCACGATGTGAGGAAAATTTCTCTGACCGCCCCATCCGTCTCCTCTGCCGAGGGAAATTATCGGCCTGTATTATAGCTCTCCATTTAAACTCTGACTATAAACTCCTTATGAGAAATTATGGCTCGCCATTGTTCTTCACATCTCTGACCATATTATACTTTTAATAAATATTAGATGTTTAATAGGTATTTATAGATAGGTAGCTGGATAAATTGGTGGGAGACATTTTGGGGGGAATGCCGGTGAATTCCGGGACTGAGTACGAAGTAGGAGGGATGGTGAGCATCAGGGGTAAATTTGAAAAAGGAAGCAGGTGCCAGCTGAGGCAGAGACACGTTGCCTTGCTGGAAATTCGGACGTGGCAGGTTTTGAACAGCGGAGATGTAAATGATCACATTTGCATACAGAGAGAGTTCTCAGACTTCAAGGCGGATGATTCATGAGAGTGGGAAGCACATTATAATAAGAGCGATTGCATTAATCCCCCTTTATCTGCGGTTTCTTGTTCGGAGAATTCAGTTACCTGCAGTCAGCTGAGGTCCGAAAATATTAAATGGTGCATATTTTGAGAGAGAGAGAAAAACCACATAACTTTTATCACAGCGTATTGTTGTAATTGTCCTATTTTATCATTAGTTATCGTGGTTAATGTTCTGCTATGCCTAATTTATAAATTAAACATCCCCATAAGTACATATGGGTAGGAAGAAATGGTGCACGTAGGGTTCAGTACTCTCCGTGGTTTCGGGCATCCACTGGGGGTCTTGGACCGTGTCCCCTGGGGGTAAAATGGCATGACTGCATTGGAACACTCCAGAAGAAAAATAATGAGGACATGAAATTAGAGCGTGGCCATGAGCATGAACAGAAGGGACACCTGCGAGAAGGACTTGGGAAGGGTTCGTGTCATACTAGGTGACACAAAAAGAGAGAGGACAAACGAAAAAAGAACTCCCAGGTTTTTGACTTGAAAACTGACTGTAATTATGACCCCTGAGATAGAACAGGAGGAAAAGCACATCAAAAAGGAAAGGTGACGAGTTTCGATTTATGACGCCGCCTGAGGTAGACGTCGAGGTAGCAGTCGACTGCCGTGATGGCTGTTCGCATGCATTTCCGCCCCTTTTCAGTCGGTCTTCCTGTTACTCTAGAAGCTACGAAACTAGAGGTGACTCTGACCACTTGCACCTTGGGTGTTAGCTTCAGACTCGGTTCCACCAGGGAGCTGTAGCGACGTAAAAGCTGACATGAGGAGATGAAGTCAATGGCATCTTCTTGCAGCTCGGGTCGATTTCGGCTAGCAAACAAGGTCATGGAGATGTGAGTGCTTTCTGCAGCCGGGGTCTCGTGGCCAGACACTAGCTTCATGTCTTTCAAGGGGCCATTCATGTGGCATCAAGGGTCAGTGCTCCCGTGACTAGTCCCCAGTTTCGTAGCCGTGGGAGTGACGGCGGTAGCGTCTGACGTTCTGTCCTGCCGAGGAGTCTTCGACTTAATGGTCAATGTCAATGGTCCACAGCTGTTGTTTCGTTTTGCTTCTTCTAGATAAAGAAGTTAGATTCCTGCCAGCGCGTTTCGTCACTGCGTTCGTAGATCCTTCTCACAATCGCCGATGTGGATGGGCTTCCTCTCTGTGCTCGGCATCGCTTTCCTGGGAAGTGCCAGGTGATAAGACAAGCAGAACGGTTACTGAGATGGACAGGCAAAGCGTAAGCATTCTCGAATTTGCGGCTAACCCCTCTCTTCGATCGTGAGCTTTTACAAAAGATGGGAGGATCCACTGATTTCATATAGATCCTGCTTCCTGTCCTGGTGAAGTCCTGTAGACAAAGAAATAATAAGGGTTTCTGCTTAGACGGTGAAGGCAAAGAAGATAATAAAGTCGGGAAAATATACCATCTGCTCACGGTGTCCTGTCGCACTAGCAGAGGGGGGAGCATGCACCCAGAATCTCGGTCTTCTGCTCTCTCATCCAATGGTCTTTTCACTGCATGACTCTTGTTAGCCAAGTAGCTTTTCTTAGGTAATACAAAAGTAAACTTCTGTCACTCTCCTTTCTGAATTTCTAATCGAAGGAGTCCAAGACGAAGACGTTTTACTCTTTGTCCTGGAGGGAGCCAGATTCTGTCTGCAGCCTCATCGGGACTGTCAGATGTCTTGATGTAGGACTTGGGAAATGGACTTCCCATAACTTCACCTCACTGAACGTGTGTTCATGTTAATTCACTGTTTCTGCTTGTTGACAGCTGCAGCTCCTATTGCCAAGATCTCTGTAAATGGCCTGAATTGTTGGCCCAAGGATCAGTTCAAACTAGAGAGCCCCTGGCTGTTTTTAAAGGCAAATGTGATCAGATAACTTTGAGTCATATTGGGCAGGGTGGATTCAGCCTAAGGATGAGGGGATTGATCAGCTCACGTGATGAATGATCAAGCGGCTGCCTCTCAGTTGTCCAAGCTTCCTTTTCTGAGTTGTCAAGACATAGCTTGCCTTCTTCTTCACTGGTTATACACAGAGCTGGTTCTAGAAGAATGGATAGGAAAAGAGGCTACACATAATCCCTCTGAGAAAGGAAAGAGAGCTTCAGATACTAGAGAAGTTCCTGCTTCACAGAACCTACTGATGCTTTGCATTGGGGCTAAGTAAATGCCAACATTAAATTTAATTTATTTTGTGAAACGAAACAAGACCACGTTGGCTTTTTCTTAGGGCTAACTGAGACGTGAGTACGATATCAATAATGAAATAAATAGCCACACGAGCAGGCTCTTTTTTAAGGTACTGGGCCAAAAATTAGAAGTTGCCAGTATAGAAGCCATGGGAAAGTCCTGTGGGCATCAGGGGACCCTACTATCAATATTAACTCGTGTTTACTATAAAAAATAGAGTCCCTACCTGTTGCACTTCCTGTTCTTTGTTGGGATGTGTGCCATGTATCTACCTTAGGCAATAATCTCTTGATGAACTGAGTAGCATAAAACTTGGTCATGTTTCCATATCTGGTTGCCAAAAATATTACTTCTACTCCAGTATAAGTACCTGTCTGCTGAATATCCAAGAGACCCTTCGAGACAACCGAAAAAATGAACTTATTACCTTCCCCTTCAACAAACCTGCACCTCTTCCTCCTTAATAAACAAACAAACAAGCAAAGAAACAAACGAACGGTAAAATGACCATCACTTGTTATTCATTCCCCACACCCTCCGCTTCCCACTCACCAACCTGCCAGATCAGCGCGACCTCCTCAGTCTCTCTAACTTGACATCTTCTCTTCGCGGCCCCCACCTTTCTAGCTCCGGTGCTCATCATTTCTCATTTTAATTTTGCAACCATCTCCTAACCGGTCTCCTTCTAAGCTTGCCCTCTTCTTATCTGTCCTTTAATTGCCATCAGAGGAATATTTTTATAACAAATCGGTCAGGTCTTTCCTTGAAATCTTTCAGTGATTTCTCATTACAGTACTAACGTCTCAGCTTGACATTGGTGTGTCTCTGCCTCCTAGCTTCATTCATCACTGTTCTCTGACTCGTCTCGTGCCCAAGAAATCTTTCAGTGATTTCTCATTACAGTACTAACGCCCCAGCTTGACATTGGTGTGTCTCTGCCTCCTATGTAGCTTCATTCATCACTGTTCTCTGACTCATCTCATGCCCAACACAGCCCTTCTCATCCTCTCTCTCTCTCTCTCTCTCTCTCTCTCTCTCATTCCTTTATTCTTGGAGACATAGCATATCATCTTGCGGGACAATGTTCTATGATATACCAAAATTCAATTAAGAAACTTGTTTATGTGCGTCCGAAGCACCTGGTTTGCCTCTGTGGTAGCATTTAAAAAACACTTTTGGCAGTCTTGTATTTTTTTTCAATTTCTCCTACTGTACTGTAAGTGACTCGAAGGCAGAGGATAGGTCCTATGGACATAACAGCCTCCAAACCAGAGTAGTGAGCCTGACGCGAAGTATGCACATAACCCTCATCTTCTCCAAACCACTGTTCTCTCCTGCATCAAAATCCATCCCAAAGTTGTAGCATTATTTTCTCAGATGGCTCGACCTGACCTCCTCATCCTTTTGGCATATTTAGAATTGGATTTGGGAAAGGAGGAGAAAGCCTGTGTTATTTTGATATCTCGTGTCCACATGGAAGTCTCTATAGCACTTTTAGATGAGAGGTATCTTAGAAATATCAGAAATCAGACCTACTAATCATAGTCGTGAGAATTGAGAGTATTAAATCGTCATTAAAAAAAATAATCTTTCAATGATTAATCTTTGATCAAAATTCCTTAGAAATTAAATGATAACGATGAGTTGAATGGTCAAATGTAGGCTTTGTTTTTAGCCCTGGTGTGGGGTGGGGGTCAGCATCGTGGGCTTTCATATTACCACACTTTCATATGTTAAGGGACATGGCTGACCAATTCCATGTGTGATCACAAGAGGTGTTGAGAAAAGGACCCGAAGTATTACTTTGAAAATATTATTTAAACTACAGCGAGAAGTCATTTGGCTTTCAACATCATTTTGCACAAACATAAAAGATGAAGAGTGAGGGAAACATAAAGAGATTGCATGTCATCCCTTTCACGAACCCGTATGAAGTCACGTTCTAATGCTATACTGGACACCAGGATGACAGAATAGATAAGGTATAGTGAATTTGTAATCTAATATGAATCTATAATTAAAATAAATGGAATCTATGCAACAGTAAAGATAAGCCACTGAATGCTACGGGGGCAAATTAAAAAGAGTTCCCAATTCTTGCTGCTGAAGTCATGAAGTGACGGAAAGACTTCTCTGGAAATAGAACCATGGAGCCATATAAAAGCTCAGGCCGTGTGGGGAACTGAGAGTCACGTGATGTGACTGGACTGCCGAGCGCGGGGTGGCCAGGAGGGTGGGGGACAGTAGCTCCCCAGGAATCTGGAGACTCAGAGTGCGCTCGGGGGACAAAGAGGCCATCGTAGGAATTCGAATGGCACTTCTAGCCCACATTACAGGAAGCCTTAAAATTCTTTGACGATAACCTTTGTTAGATCTAAATATGCCAGATTATTCTAGTGGCGCCGGGAGGTCAGCCTCTTTGAAAGCCTTTGAGGAGCTTTGAAATTGTTAACTCCTTGAAGTAACGGGCATCTTGAGGAGGTCAGCATGGTCGGTGCTATAAACCAACCATGGAGTCAGACAGCCCCGGGTTTAGAGTCCCGGCTGATTCACCTGTTCAACCAGCTGTGTGACCTTGGATGTGTGGTTAAAGACCTCTGAGTTTCAGTTACTTATGTAGTGACATTTTATCTCAAGTGATTGTTATGTGGTTTAAATGAGATGGTCCAACATGTGTTCAATAAATGTAAAAATTTTGAAGTATATTTAAAATATATAAAGTATATTACTTACAAGTAATATAATTTAGCATATTATATTAGAAGTAATTATAATATTTACTATATTACTTTAGTATATTACTTGTATTAGTGTATTTTAACAATATATTAAAAGTACATTAATATTTTGTATATGACTTTTAGTATATTACATACATTATAAAATTAGAGTTGAAAATCAAAGGGTTGATTTTCTAGTCAGTTAAATTATTTATTTATTCCCTTGTAGAGGTGATTCATATCACATATTTTCAGCAATAAGTTTGACATAGCGTAGATGCTCAGCAAACCCTGTAGAATTAGTGAAGATCCCTATTTCATTATAAAATGCCACGTTGCTCCGGACTCAAGGCTCAGATCAGTATGATGCTGCCGAGTTAAACATTGTGAGTTATGTAATTATTTTTTAAAACGCGTTTTGAAAATAGTGGCTCTTTATTTCAGTCCCTATGATTCCCCACCCAGAAGACAGAATGCGAATGCCTTACTCCTTTTTGGGTAACTGAGGGTCAAAGGTAGAGCGAGAATTTAAATCAAGCCCCGCCCCCCGCCCCCCCCAACACACACACACTCAAACGAATGCCCTTGACAGTGCTCTTCCACGTGCTTCTTCCTTTTGAGTATCTTGGGCCAGAAGGCCTTTCTGTGGAAACTTATTAGAATTCTCTTTGCGGTTAGGGCATCGAGCAAAGAAAGCTCTGCCGTCCTACTTGCTCGAGCCTGTGGGAGGCGAGTTACTCTGTGAACAAAATGCATGCAGCTGTCGGAGCGAGACGCTCTGGAGTAGGCCAGCAATTTTACAGTTCAGGACCAGATGGGATGTGATCGAATGTGTCGACAAAAAGCAGAGTCACAAGGTCAAGTGCCGACTTTCCAGATCAATTTTTAAACTGTCTCTGCTGATTAGGGCAATGGACGTATCCATACATTCTTGGGGAAGGTATTGATCGGGGAACAGAAGCTAACTTAATTTATTCCAGCTTAGAAAAATTGTCCACGAAGTATTCTCCTTGATTCGTCTTTTTTTTCCACCCCCCCTGCATATTTGAAAACCTTTTGGAGGAGAACTGTGGGAATCATCTTCCCCAGAGCACTGGCAGATCTTCCTTAATTCCATTAATGGAAGCTTGATGCCAGGTCAAAATACTTGGTTAAATATTACCCTGACTGGTTCCTTTATTTCCAGCATTCCATTGGCACAGGTTAGAACCAGTTTTCTGCAAACATGTTTAAATGTAAAGAGTCATTATTTTTTCTTTCTGAACTCAGAGTAGTTGCTGAGTCGTGCTGTCCTGCATAAAATATGGGGAGGTAAGTTCCAG